CCCCAAAACCCCAAAACCCCAAAACCCCAAAACCCCAAAACCCCTATGTCTTTTTAGAATATTGAAGTATCGTAAGGTAATGTAATATAGTCCAAAATATTCAATTACTCTGATTCAGTTGATCTCCTTATTCTCCTCACCTTCTAAGCACTAAAATCCAAACTGAGTGACTCAGTTCTGTACATTGGTCCAAAAAGTGACGTTTAAGTGAGAATCTTGTATCTCACTCATGCTGAACTCAGAGAAAACCTTGCAATAAGTCCTGATCTTATCCTCTTTGAATTGAGGAAGTGCTATCTCTGATAAATAAACTGTCAGAATATTTATAATCTTTTTGTAATTCAAAACGATGGTTTCTGTTGTCTCAATAGCGTTATTTCAAATTTTGAATATCAACCTGTTTGCTTGAGGAAGACTTGAATAAGTTCTTGATAGATTTCTTTCCTGAGTTGATCTTGGCGATATCTTCTTCATACTGTTGGATTTTTCATTGGGCTTTGTACATCTCTTCTCCAACAGTATTGTAGGACTGGATTCATTCCTGCATGGCATACAGGTCATAAATTTCTCCCTTGCACCATAAGTAGAGGTCGTGGAAAGGATTCGTCCCATCGCTAAGAGATCTAGAACAAGTTAGAGTTGCAGTAGGATGATTTGGAAGGAGAAATAGTCTTACTGCTTAATCTTCTTTTTGATAGTATTGCATGATTTTGAGTTGACAATTGACTTCTGTAAAGGTAATTTTTGTATAAATGCAAGGTCATTATATTCGTAATCCTCCAGCATTCTTAAGAATTCTAGGTATACATCCTTCTGCTGTTGTGTTACTGGAGCTAGAGCTTTAACTTGACTTTTAAGGACTTCCAAAACTGGAACAACTTTGTTGAAATATGCATTGAATTTAGAGATTTCAACTTTGGATTCTGTCAACTTCATATCTGGATTATCTTCACTGACGTTAAAGTTATTCTTCAGTCTCTCTAAAATCAGCATTGGAGTAACTCTTGGAAGATTGCTGATTGATTTCTTCATATCTCCATTAAGTCTGCTAAATATTTTGAATTCCTCACTGATGAGGATGAAATCATGGTTAGCAATTTTCCTCAGAAATCTTTCTAAGAAATATCTTCTATCCTCGACAAATTTGGATGTTTTATTTCCAACATGCTTCTTTGGAGGAATTGGTGGAAAGTATATCCCTGGCCATCTTGTTGTAAGTGCTTCCCTTAGCATAAAGAAGTCGTTGTATCTTCTGCTACCAGAGAACTTTCCATCATTATCAAACCCAGAGACTCAGTAACTAATATGGTTTCCTGTAACAATCGGATCAGTCACTTTATACGGATTATGATCCTTCTTTTTATCAATTTTCTTATTAAGATGTGGGAAGACCATATCAATACTCTCTTGTGACTCAACCGATTGGGAACTGACAGTTTTCTCCAGACTAGGCTCTCCAACCTCGCTATCCAAAATTTTCTTATCAGTCTGCTGCAAACTCTCTTCCCTATCCTCCATCCTCTCTTCTTCATGGTACTCTTCTTCCTCTATATTCTCACCTTCATCTTCATAAATCCCTGAAGTTTCTTCTTCATCATGGTTAATGTTCATGGCGTCTAAATTTCTCAGTCAGGCATGAATAGATATTTCCAAAGTTTGTGTTAAATTTAAGTGGTTTTGTGTAGGGGTTCTTACTGGTCTTGTACTCTTCGTTCCTGTCTTCGTAGTCGTGGCTGTATTCGTCATCGTAGTTGTCGTTGATGCTGGAGAGGAGGTTAGTGGGGAAGAAGGAGGAGAGGGATGAGGGGTGGGAGGAGGGGGGGGGGGTGGGAGGAGGGGAATGGGCTTACCCGTAGTCTTGTTCTTGGTAAGGATCGTAGTGGTCGGGGTTTTCTTGGTCGTATTTGTCTTCTTCGTGGTAATACTTATCGTAGCTATCTTCAGCACTCATTAAACTCAATTTTATTATTTATTAAAGGGGTTTTGGGGTTTTGGGGTTTTGGGGTTTTGGGGTTTTGGGG